GAGAGAGGGGGGGGGGAGGGGGGGAAGCAAATCGCTTTGGTGTGTTTGTTTGGGGTGGGGTGTAGTTACCTGTTTGAAAAGGGGTACAGACAGGATGCCGGAAAGGCCAGCAGAGAGAATGAAGGTGCTCCTCTGACTCGCCATGTCACTCTGAGCGATCGACAGACACGCACAAACCCACCAGAAGTGAGTGACCACACACACTCTGGTTTGTTTGTTTGGTTGCCCACAGTACCATGGTGGGTTTCCTCTCCATGGGCTCGATCTCCTTGACTTGCGGCAGCAGGGCCAACACAGCCACTATCAGCGACACTGCAGACGGCAGAAACAGATCCTGACACACACACACACACACACAGAGAGAGAGAGAGAGAGAGAGGAACGATGTGTCTCTTTCTCAGCCATTATTTGCCGGTGTTTGAGCCTGACTTTGATGATGTTGGGTCCTGTGAGTTGTCCGCCGATCCATAGCATGGTGGTGGTGACGTCACCGATGGGCGTCCAGGCGCCCCCCGCATTGGCCGCAATCACCACCATGGCACCGAACAGCTTGCGGTTGAAGTCATCGGTTACCAGACGCTGCACACAACACACACAACACACACAACACACACACACACACACACACACACGCACACACACACGCTTTCAGTGGGGATGGGTGGAGAGATGGAGAGAGCGTGTGTGTGTTGTGTTGTACCCGTAGCAGTGTGACCATGATGATGGTAGTGGTGAGGTTGTCGAGTACGGCCGACATGAAGAAGGTCACGATGCCCAGCACCACCATCAGCTGACGCTGGCTCCTCGCCGTTATCTTCTCACTTATCACGTCAAAACCCTTGTGCAGACAGACAGACAGACAGACACACATCCATCCATCCATCCATCAACCCACCTCTTCATCGCTCCCTGCCAAACCTCCCTCCCACCTTGTAAGCCGACACGACCTCGACAAGCGTGGTGGCACCAATGAGGAAGAAGATCACCTGCGACACCTCGGCCAGCTGCTCATTGAGCCTCTCGGCCACCATCCCAGGATCCCCACTGACATGGCCGTACAGCGCCCACACGACCGTGGCCATCATCAGGGCCACGCCCGACTTGTTGCAGTCGACGAGCTCCTCAAAGATGATGCCCATGTACCCCAGGATGAAGGCCACTATCATCACCATGTCGCCGTGCTCCGCGAAGTACGGCACCTGCAGCAGCCCCGCTGACACGCCCAGGATCCCCGCGCCGAGGAGCGTCGTCCTGCACACATACCATACACCCATAAGCAGAGGGAGGGCATGTGTGACGATCTCCCATGTATAGCTCACTTGGCAGCGTCGCTGTCAAGCCCCGGGATGAGGCTCGCCCCACCAGCCCCCGCCGAGTCCACTGCTGTCGACGAGATTTCCTGCTCGCTGGCGTACTCCATCCGCCCGCCCGGATAGCCATTCACGTCCAAACCCCGCGCATCACTATCACCACCACCAGCAGCGACATCTTCGACTTTCGTCGCGACGGGCTGAGCCTCAGCTGCAGATGGCCCCTGCTTCTCCGCCGTCATCCATTGCCGCGAGGGCGAAGCCGCCCGGACCTTGGGCAGGGTGCTCCGCCTCACAGATGACACCACCACCGGATTGACGAAGGCCTCTGGCGGCGCTGGCTGCATCGACTGCATCCGCCTCCTGAATGGCCTCCTCCGGTGATAGGACGCGTCAAGGCCGTCCGCGACGAGGCCGAAGAGGGCAATAGCAATGAGAAGAGTGGGAGCACGGAAGATCTTTGAGCGGCGCCTTCGCTCAGGCGCCGAAGAGGGCCTCATTGCCGGACCACAAGAAGAGTCGTCTGGCAAAGATGAATCGAATAACCCCGCCGTGCTGCGCGTCATCGTGGCCTCACGCCAGCCTCACACACACGAAGGCACTGCTTTCTCCCTCAACTCAAAGCATAGCTCGCCCATTTCAGCTCGCAATTGGAGGAGTGGCACACAGAGAGGAGAGGATGGGGTCGAAGAAGGCGGGTGATCCGCCGTCCCAGCAGCAGGGCGGTCAGGCGGTGATGAAGCCGATAAGGGACTTCTGCGACCAGATAGACCTCAAGATGAGCAAGAACCAGCAGCTGGCCTCCCTCTGCAACCAAATAGGCGTCAGGCCACACGTCATCGTACTCACCGCATGCGGCGCACTGCTCGCATTCCTCCTATTCGGCATCGGCGGCAACATCATCTGGTCGGTCTGACACAGAGGCACGTGTTGCATATTCCTGCAGGGCGTGGTCTCCTGTGTGTGTGTGTTGTTGTTGTTGGTTGCAAAATCCAGCAACGCGGTTGGGTTTGTGTATCCGGCGTGGCAGTCATTCAAGGCCATCGAGAGCGACAAAAAGGATGACGACAAACTATGGTATGTCTGATGCGTCGGCGGGCGGGCGGGGGGGCGGGTGCAGAGAGGGGGGATGGGCGGACGGATTGGTCTGGATCATTCCGCTGGGCTGTCCTTGTGCGTCTTGTTGTGATGCCATGATGCCATGTGTGTTCCCGCAGGTTGACGTATTGGGTGGTGTATGGGTTCTTCAGCGTGATAGAGGTGTTTGCCGACTACATACTGTTTTGGGTGCCCTTCTACTGGATGATGAAACTCGGGTTCCTCGTCTGGCTCTTCCTCCCACAGACCCAAGTGATGAGCTGACTGACCAAGGAAGGGGCGGGTTGAGGGACGTGTGGGTATGCTTGTGTGTGCCTGGGTGTGGTGTGCGTTTGTGCCTGCCTGCCTGCATTCCGTCAGGGGTCGATTCACATGTACAACAACCTGGTCAAGCCCATCCTCACACAGAACCAGGGCAAAATCGAACAGTGGGTGGAACTCACCAAACACACACGCCGACGCACACTGACCGGTCCATCCATCCATCCATCCATGTGTGTTGTGTGTGTATCAGGACGATGAGCAAGGTGACCGGGTCGGCGGGACAGTTCCTCAACGAGGCGCAGAATATGGCCGGACACCTCAGCTCACTCGCAGCTGGGGCAACCAAGTCAGACTAGGCATACCTACCATCCACACACACATGCCTATGCGTGACACACAACACACACTCGGACAGCGACATCTGTAGCCGACTGCTGACCGACCGACAGCAGACCGACCGACCGAATGTTTGTGCGCGTCGCGTGTTGTTTGTTGTAACTAACGGTGGTGTGGTGTGGTGAGTGCGTGGTGCACCGGTGTGTGGGCTGGCAGTTTTGCTCGCCTCTTTTGTAGGTCTATCTGCGTCTGTCTTTGTGAATGAACGAGTGAGTGGCTGGCTGGCTGGGTGGTCCATGGTGTGGGTGAGAGGAGGAGGGCCGATACGTGACCTTTCCCCGGACGGATACCCATTGCGGATTGTGGTGTATGAATGTGTGTGTGTGTGTGACATGCTCGAATGCACTCGTGTTTGTGTGTGTGTCGTCTGACTTTTGTGTGTGTGGCTGGCTGACTTGATGCCTCGTTATGGCTGGCTTGGCTGCATGGCGCGTCAACGAAACTTGGTGTACTGCTGGAGAACATAATGTCACCTTCACCCCTCCGTGTATCGTTCCGAGTCCTAAGCTTGCCAACTCGAACTGTGAACAGCTGTGACAATCCCTCCATTCCGATGCAGCCGGCCATGAGACCAGGACGGTGATGCAGCAAGATCAACCTGACGCGCAGCTCTGGACTAAGATGAAGTCCGATGCTCCGATGGACCACCCTTCCGGAGGGCCGTTCGCATCCAGCAGACGGTGCAGACGGTGCAGCAGCACAGATCACAGGGCAAGGCGGCGGCCTGGCGCCACTGCGGCAGATGAAGCAGCAACCTGCTGTCCTTCGCGTGTGTCGGCTCCCCCTCCCCGTGTGTCGGCGAGCAGGCAGCATTTGTCTGTGTGGACGTCCGTGATTGTCCTGCTGACGACTTGTTTTTCAAGGGCGGAGCCGCTCAGCGGTCCGAGGCACCACACCACACCCCTGGTCAAGTCTGGACGAGGGAACCCATTCTGCCGGCACAGATCAACACCAACAGATACAGCTTATCTGCGGCCTTTCCGGTTTATGATGCCTTCCCCCGCATCATCGCCCGTTCGCCGCCCCCCCTCCCTCCCCTCCTCCGCTCTCTGCTCGTCCGCCGCGCCCTCGTCAACACTGATGGATGACGTGTCTGTGACGGCCGACCATCATGTCAACGGCAGTCCGTCGATGATCAACGCCACTGTGGTGATGCACAAGGCCATGAGGGCCCTCCAGAAGGTCCGGAGCGTCCGCGTGTGGCGCGACGAGCGGTGGCGGGCTCTGAGCCGACTGGTGCGGCAGGGCGCCTCACGTACCCGACCGTGGCATGGGATTGCTCTCGGCAGCACACTCGGCATCGGCCTGCTGTCTTACTTGTTTCGGCGGCGGCTGGCGATTGTGGGTGCACTGGGGATGAGTGCCGTGATGCGCGGGATGGCCGAGGTGTCGCTGGTTGACCCGACCAAGCGGGACACGCTGCTGCTGCTCTTCTTCTCCAGCCTTGTCAGCATACTAATGCACAAGTGAGTATGTGAGGCAGTCAGTCGGCGAGAGGGGAAGGGAGAGGAGGGGGAGGATGCTTCAAGGATAGATCGATCAATCAACCTCTCTCTTGTTGTGTGCTCTGTATGGCTGGTGCACTCACTGCAGGCTGCGTATCAGTCGCGAGATCGGCTTCATGCTCGTGGGCATGGCCCTGGGGCCCCACGGATTCCGCACACTCGGCCAACGTAAGACACACACGCACACTGAGGCATACGGCGCACACACCCACCCGCTGGTCGACCGTCTCGTTCGTTGCTGCCTGCAGTGCACACGTTGGAGTCGCTGGCCGAGATAGGTGTGGAGTTCTTTTTGTTCGAGATGGGCCTGGAGCTGTCGTTCGAGACGCTCTTCGGCAGCATGCGCGGCGACGTCCTGCTGGGCATGTGGCAATTCATCATCACCACACTCATCGTCATGGCCATCGCCGGCATCCCCGCATTCGGACTCCCACCTGCTGCACGGCTCGTTATCGGCGGGTCGCTCGCACTCTCCAGCTCGGCGTTTGTGCTGCAGCTGCTGAGGGACAAGGACGAGCTCGGCACTCGTCACGGCAGAGCGGCGCTTGGCATTCTCCTGTTCCAGGTCAGTCAGTCGCACACACAAATGGGACACCTGCCTGCAGCAATGACCGAATGAGCCTGAGTTCCTGACTCTTCTTTCTTTGTGTCTGTCTGCAGGATCTGGCTGTGGTGCCGCTGCTGGTGATGATCCCTTTGCTGGCAGGCGGCGGCTCCGGCCTCCTGCGCGCACTGGGCGTGGCGGGCGTCAAGGGCATACTGGCCCTAGCAGGCATTGCCGTCATCGGGCGGAAGGCCGTCGGGCCTTTCTTCTCAAGGTCAGCCAGCACTTACAGCACACACACACATCAGGCCTGGCAGACAGCAGCTGGTGCAGTGCATGTCTGTTCTGTGTTGGTATGTATGGCGACACCGATGAATGAATGACATACAGGGTGGCCAAGACGAACTCCCCCGAGGCGTTTGTGGCTGCGGTGCTGCTGACTGTCCTGGCCACGTCGACGGGCACCGAGCGGCTGGGCCTCTCCAACACACTCGGGGCCTTCCTGGCTGGCGTCCTGGTCGCCGAGACCAACTACAGGTGAGGGTTGTCCATGCATGTGCTGTGCCTGACGGGGAAGGGGGGCACACAGGGAGAGTCATCGACTGACTGCATGTCTGTCTGTATTGCGTGCGTCAGGTACCAAGTGGAGGCGGCGATATCTCCGTTCCGCGGGCTGGGTCTGGGGCTGTTCTTTGTGACGGTGGGCTTCTCGCTCGACATCAGCTTCATCCTTTCCAGGTCAACCAAACCACCAGCCAACTGACTGACCAACCCACACACTCTACTCTCACTTACGTCTGTGGTGTGTCCTGCAGGTGGCGGTTGGTGTTTGGGGTGCTGGGTGCGATGATTATCGGCAAGGCGGCCATCATCACCCTGCTGGGGCGGGTCATCGGCGGCATGGACTTCGCGCAGTCACAACAGGCAGGACTGCTGCTCTCGCAGAGTGAGTAACAGAGACCACACACACACACACACAGATATGTCTTCATCCCGCAAGCATCCACATGTGTGTGGGTCCCATGACATACATGTTTGTTCAGGTGGCGAGTTTGCCTTTGTGGCGGCTGGATTGGCTCAGCGTTTGGGTCTGCTGCACCCGCTCGTGAGCAAGGCCATCATGGCCAGCACCGCCCTCTCGATGCTGCTCACACCCGTACTCGAGAGGGCCTCCTCCAAGATCACAAAGGAATGGGAAAAGACCAGGGCCGACTCAATCATCAACCTTAAAGGTCTGCCTGCCTGTCTGGTAGTCTGGCTGCCAAAAAGGATGTGTGAACGCATTGACTCTGTCTCCTTGTGTGAGCTGCACAGATCCCGAGCTGCACGACATGGCCAAGAAGGAGAAGAACCTGGTGGTGGTGGTCGGCTACGGACGGGTCGGCAAGACCGTCTGCGACGTGCTGGACAAGTAAGGGAGGAACGGAAGGGAAGGCAAGGCAAAGCAAAGCGACGCACCCAACCCAGGTGCTTGATTGAGCTCATGTTTCTGTCGTGTGCCTTCATGTGTGTGTGTGCACTGCAGGAAGTTGGTCAAGTACATAGCTGTCGACAATGACAGCGAGATCGCAACTGCCGCACGATCAGAGGTGGGCTGTCGACTCCAGGCAGACTGTTGACATGCATCGATCCAGCCATCCATCCCTCCATTCCGACCTCTTTGCGCGCGTGTGTCCGGTGCGGTGTGTGTAGGGTCGACCCGTGTGGTACGGGGACATCCGGAACCCTTTGCTCATGTCCATGCTCCACGGTAGGTCCATATCCATCCCACTCATCCATCCACACACTCTTTGCTGTGCTGACGTCAAGCAAACCGCCGTTGTGTGTGCCTGTTTGCTGTATGTGTCAGTTGAGAAGGCCAAGGCGGTCGTGCTGACGCTTGACGACGTGCAAATCGTCAACAGAGCCGTCATCGAACTAAGGTAGGTACACACCATACCCTGCACACTAGACAGACTGCTTTGTGTGGTTTCAGAAAGCAGTATCCTGACTTGGCGATTTTCGCGCGTGCCAAGGACGAGGGCCACAGGAAGCGACTGCAGTCGATCCTCGACGTGACGTCATTCATCCCCACACTACACTCGGAGGAATTCGCCGGCGCCGTACTCCTTGACCTCGGCATCGAAACCGCTGAGGTATGCACTGGGGATTCACCCATCGACACGGGCAGGGAGGACCTGTGTGCCTGTGTGTGAGGGTGTGTGGGTGTGTGGGTGTCATTGCAGGTCCAGACGTTGGTAGAGGACATGCGCAGGAGGCTCTACTCGCGGCAGCTGGAAGGTCTCGACGGCGGCGCATCCATACAAGAGGCCAGAGAGCAGTACGTAACCAAACACACACGCCAACCACCACCAATCATACACACACACACA